ATTAACGTATTAATTATATATTTTTTAAACGTTTTCAGCTTTATCTATCACTTAGTTCTGTGTATTTTTTTATTTTTCGGTCAAATATTTTTATATTTCTTGTTTCTTTTTAATATTTTATAATATGTTTAATATGGAAATATACTCACGATTTTATGAATATTTATTTTTTGTATTATTACTACTATGTCGTATTATATGTATGTTATTTATTTTATTCTATGATTGTCCTACTTATTCTATAGTTCATTAGAGGTATTGATTTAATTGTTATACAATTATTGTTATTTTTTTAAGTACTGTAATATTCTGTTTCATGTTACATGATATGGACATATTCATTATAATTAGTGATTTTTGTCAAGTACATGCATGCCATATTTTAATATGGTATGTATATACTTCCTCGCGCGGGCTAATTACCGCGTATGGGGAGCGTCCCACGGGTGGCGGATGTGGGGATGGTCGGTGGAAATTCCTTGGAAGTTCCTCCCGGCTAAGTCCGATGGACTCGCTGACCAACAATGAGAGGGGCCCTCCAGACTTGCTGGAGGGTGTGACGTAGGATTGAACGCCCTACTCACATATCTTTAGTTCACCACAAAAAGTCATGGATCTCCCTAAGGTAAAATGCTCATTATCCGGAGGTAAACTAGTCCCCCGTTCAGGTCTCCGGGTGGGGACTGCTTTAGGGGATTCATGGCGCAAGTTGAAATATAATTGGTGGTGTCGGCATCGAACCTTCGGGTTCGCTAAGCCTTATTATTATTATTATTATGTATATACTTAGCATGGTATGTATATAATCTAGTAACAGTCCAAGATATTGAATAATATTAAAAATATGGTTTTGTTTATTCGGCTAACTGCACAGAAATTGTTGATATATGGACACATTAACAATATTTGCAGGATTATTTGTGTCCATATATCAACAATTTCTGTGCCGTTAGCCGAATAAACTTATATTTATAAAAACCATATTTTTAATATTATTCAATATCTTGGACTGTTCCTAGATTATATACATACCATGCTAAGTATATACATACCATATTAAAATATGGTAAATACTTGACAAAAATCACTACTAAACTTACATAATAAAAAAAAATAAAATAAAAAAAACTTATTACAAAAACCACTTTGGATCTATGATGTTCAGCAAAAATTAAGACATATGTATCTAAAAAATCAATACGGTAAGAAAGTTAATTAATTTCATAAGGAAATTTAAATATTAAAGAAATTTAAATAATTCTTTAAGCACAGTGTTACATTTTAAATTACACTGTAAAAGATGATTTATATTCATTCAACAATCCGTATAAATTAAATACAATTTACACTGCTATATTCTACCGGTTACACCGAAAAACATATAAATAAGTCTCACATAAAATCATATAAATTCACGACATGTGCTTCAATGCAGTCGTAAATATTGATTTAAATAAATAAATGGAATTTAATTTTAATTGTATACTTATTCGTCTAGCCTACCTAAAATAGAAAACGATTAAGCTAACTATGTCGAGTGAAGAACTAATCCTGTTGGAAAGCGGCGAAGACAGGTTTCGTGAACTCTATTCTTAGCTTCCGAGAATATATTGTTATAAACGTCAATCTTATATTGATTTAGCCTTGATATTGATATCCCCTTGTCAATATACGAGTTCAAAAGAGGGGGGTTGGTGGGAATAGTAGTCCTTTTAAACGCAATTCAACTAACAATCGATTAGAAAAAAATATTCTAATCCAATTTATGTGAAAGTATATACACATAAGCATTTATAGTCCGTGGTACAGACCCCTTGTTTATCGAATTATTAACATTCGCTTGAAACTTCGTAAATAGCTTCATCCCATGGTAACCTATTATTTTTACGAACTATTTTATTTAAGAAAACTCTTGGCATTGGGTCGGTTTCAATCTGGAGGGGTCAAACTTTGTCTATTTAATTTGGCATTAAAAACTCATGAATACCCATTTGCTTTCTACTTGGATCGTATCAAAAACATTTGATTACAAAAGTGGTAAAAAAAGTGACCTTCAAAAATATTGAGCCGTTTGGCGTGACCTACACCCAAATTTTCAAAATAACGAGGTTGTATAGGACAAACGGCCCGATATTTTTGTAGGCCATCTTATTTATTGATTTTCTGATCAAATTATGTTATGATCCAAGTAGAAAGGAAATGGGTATTTACGAGTTTTTATTACCTAATTTTTTTATTTATTTATATAGATATATAATAAATATAATATACAACAAATATAACAATCTGTCACGTGGACAATAGTTATAGTGATATATGAACACATTCACACCATATATACAGATAATATAAAGTTAACAAAAGTAAAATAATAATCAAAAACTATGTACATTAAAAAAAATAAAATAACCTTAAGATAAGTAAATTACAAACATAAAAACACAGTCATACCTAAAATGTAAGATAATATTAAATATAACTACCTAATTAAATAGACAAAGTTTGTCCCTCTCCAGATTGAAAACGCTGTAATTCCAAGAGTTGTCGTAAATAAAATAGTCGTAGGTTACGATGAGATGAAACTATTTACGAAGTTTCAGGGGGATGTTAATAATTCGATAAAAAGGGGTCTGTACCACGGACTATTATTGTGGGGACGTATTCTGAATCCATGTAATATAATAATTTGTTTGTGCTCTGATTTACCTAAATTTCTCGAATTATTATATCTAAATTTTTATGACATCATCCTAAGACCAATAATAAGGGAGCACTGACCACAAAAATCGATAAATCTGGAAGTCTGTGAATAACATTTACGCTAGCACAGCTTTCCGGCGATGTATCTTTGCAGTCACTATAAATATAGAATAGGGACAAACTATTAAGCAGATTGTAGTCGGCTCAAGAGAAGATAGTTTTTCCAACAAATGACTGTATGATTTTAGGAATGAGGTTGTGTAGAAAACCAGTGTAATCTTACGCCGTATAGTAAAATAAATAAAAATATCATTAACTCTGAAGTAATGAAGTACCTCGAACTCTGAAATTATATCATGCCTAAAGGTTCTACATGGAATTAAATAATAAAATTTTCGGAATATAACAACCTGTAATTATTGTATCAAACCCTTAATTCCTATCCTAAATCTTTATCCATTGTTTTATTCTGCCATATCACATTTCTGTAAATATTCTACCCATCATTATTTAATCACTATTGTTTTTCATTTCAGTTATTTTTGTATTATATTTAATTAGTTCTCTTTTACTACTATAATTTGTTATGTACACTTATTTATTTTATTTTCTAAGTATTTAAAGTATTGTAATGTATCTGTATTATGTTACTTAAACTAACCATGTATCTTAATAGGCGCTATGTCGCAAGATGGTACGCTTAGAAATTTATGCACCCATTACAGGGTTGCTTTAATGCGTTAAAAAAAAGTAATAAATTAAGAGTACACTCTCAATTCCAAAACAGTAGTCTGTATGAGCAATGATGTCTGAAATTGTTTTAATTTTTTATTATTTTTTGAAATATCAATTGAAAAATGGGATTTTATTTTTATTTTTTAAACTAGTTGACAGAATTTTATCAAAATTCTTTGAGTAATCTACATTTAAACAAAGGCGTCAATATTATTGTTAATTTAAAGAAAAATAATCGATGATACAATAATAATATTTTTACTAAAAACATTTGCAAAAAAATCGTAAGAACCTTACTTGAAAGTAGTAATTTTCATATTGTGTATAAAAAAATATATTAAAAAGAAAGTACGAAGGTGTAAAGAAGTAGTCTAGACAGAACAGAGCAATATATGTTATTCATTTTTTGACAATCGATATTTATTTAAAAATTTACTTTTAGCCATAACTAGAAATATAGTAATAAATTATATTAGTATAAGATCCAAGAGAATAAACGACATTTTAACTTGAATGACTATGCATTGCATATAATAAAAAATAATGTTTAATTATGTAAACATTGAAATAAATAAACATTTTGATTTTTTCTGTTATTAATACTATAAAAGGACATTAAAAAAATGTGTATAGGATTTTTTATTTTAAAATTATATAGGAAATAGAAACAAATGATTCAAACATAGAATAAGATATCTTATGAAGAGTCTATGAGACAGACGCCAATGTAACCTTACGTTAGTTATTCTTGTGGGACGGTGTGCCAGAAAATAAATATAGCAGGCCATTATTTTGACGAAACGCTGCTTAAATTTCGCGCTGATCTCTTGAGCGAAAGTCGCTTACTGAATGACACTTAAGTTACTTTATTAAGTTATAAGTTTTTTTTTAAATATAAATTTAATAAATAAATGTAAATTGTATTATATTTTCATTTGAAAAAAGAAAAGAAAAGAAAATGACCAACGAAACATGTAAATGTTTTCAGCTCAAACTATTCAATTATATTTCAGTCTTTATTTTACTGCATTCATTGTTATCGTTATTTGTTTTCCCATGTATAAGTATCCATACTTTTTTACTATGTTCTTCTATATATATATATATATATATACAAGAAGTCAAAACAGCAAGTTTTTTTTTTTGTGATTGCTACAAATTCGTTTAAGACCAAATATAATTATTCATTTCGTCTTCCTTGATATAGTTAAATTACAAAAGTAAATTAAACATCCACCAAATTAGTTAATTAAACGTGACTAAAAATAGATTTGTAAAATAAAATAACATATAGAGTATAAGTCAATAATTAATACATGTTAACGTTGAAATATTTGTTTTATTGTGTTAAACCGGGAGATTAAAAGGACCAGAAAACCAACTGAGCGATTGATAAGGATGACCGGTTTAGCAACAGAAATTCGACAAAAACTAGAATTTAAAATATGTATAATACTAATATTATCTTCTTTGTAATTGTAAAGAAATATTTTTCATCACGGAAACCTGTCATATTTTTTAAAATATGAAAGATGTAAATGTTTCGAAATATGATTAATATATACCTTTAGTTAGCTAAGAAGTACTTGAGTATTATATTGCTGGCGAACTAGACAGAAGCGTTGAGAAGGGTTTTGACTCGGTGGTACCCATCACGATCCTAAAGAAACCCAGGTTGTGGTATCGAGGTTTAGGTTTGAGCCCGTTCGATGAGACACCACGTAGTTGGCTGCCGGACTGAGACTGCACCGCTTGCTTGGGACGAACTCTCGCATCCATGCGTAGCAGCTCTTACGCATTAATAACGCTCCATACGTTCCTAGGTCCAACATTTTATTTTATTTGGTACTATTTCATTTTATTTATTACTTTTTTAAGGTCTATATTTTAAACAATTAAAAAAAATGTTATCAATTAAATATTTTTTCCATATCCATAATTATAATGCAAAACTTTTTTGAACTGATCTGTTCTAATTTATTTATTATTTTTAAAAAATAGATACAATTATAATCGATGTCATCCACCTGTATTTGGTTAAAATTTTCTTAATCACAATTTTTACAAAAATAAGGTTTTCTTGTCCGAAAATTCAGTCCTATTTATTAGTACCTATAGCTTAGTCTCAGATAAATCGATCCCTTATTTGTTCTGTAATATAATAATCTTGTATATTTAATATTTCGTTTATATTTATTAATAATAAATTGGCTTTGAACGAAACAATGTTTTTTTTTTCTCATTTCAAATGCATATTTTGAAATTGTATGTAGGTGTATATATTTTTTCGGTATACACAATTCCAAAACAGATACAAATACGCGGTGAAATTACTTCCTAATTTTGTCAGATTTACCAACATAGTAACGATTATTTCAACTTTATTAAATTATTAAAACTAAACTGAAAATTAAAACTATTTCCAAGCAATACTTCGCAGTAAATTGCAGTAGTGAAGTATCACTTATTTATTAGAATCGGCCGAGAAAGTACCCGAATTTCGTATTTGTGCGAAAAGTTATTTTTTTTCTGAGTTAGTTGATAAATACACATGATGCGTGAAATGGGAAAATACTTTTACTTTTTGTAATATTCAATTATATATATATATAATTTATTACATTAAGTATGGGTAAAAGTTATAATATTCAATTATATATATATATCTATATATAATTGAATATTACAACACTAAGTATGTATAAAAGCTCTTTTTTTTCTCTTGAAATAAAATAACTAGACCCAGTGATCAGTTCAATAATCATTTTGGCCAGATTATTTTTTTTATCTATACCAAATTAAAAAAGATGTTTTTTTTGTTTGCCTTTGCTTTGGATGGGTTTATAGGTTATATATACCAAGAGATATTTTGTATATATCTCTATCTCTCTCTCTCTCTCTATATATATGTATATAAATATATATATTTTAAAGTTCATCAATATTAATTTCCATTTGTAATTTAAAAATAAAATATTGTGATTGTTCAAAACGCTGCATTAGAATTCCATAACGACGTTGGATACGTTCCAATAATCTTGTTTTTCATATTTGATAACAAAGAAGTGTCAGACAAATTATTTTATTCAGTTCACTGCCTCTACTTTCTAAATTCAAAACATGAGGGGGGAGATCATGAAATAAATCTTGTTATTCTAAAAATAAGTTATAATCCAGATCTAAACTTTTCTATAAAAGTGTCAATTTTTAGTGTGCCGTTTGATTTCTTTATCATTATCAAGTATCAAGTATCTAATTTATTTCGAATATATCGTATAATGCAGGATACCATTCTTTAAAAAAATATATTTTTATTTTACCCTTTAAAATTCTTTCATTATATCAATACGAATCGGCGGTTTACTGTAAAACGTGTAAGTATACTTTTAATGCTGGTAAACTTTTTAAGAAGATATTAAAGAATTTTTTACGCTTTTACTATTGCGAAAGCTTAAGCGTTTTATGATGCTTCTAAATTGGAAATTATAGGACCCAATGCTCTTTCAATAATCATCAGGAGCAGATTATTTTTTTTTTATTTATACAATATTTAAAAAAATACATTTTTTTTTTGCCTTTGATTTGGCTGGGTTTATAGGTTATTATATACCAAGAGATTTTTCGTATGCTAAATAATTTAAAAAAATTTGGCCTATGGTAAATTAAATGAGCTTTAATTCATTACGAATTAAAAAAAGACAAAGACACCTCCAGGAAAGCTGACAAAGTAGATTTTCGTAAAAAAAAAAAGCAAGTTAAATTCGTTTTAAGATTGCTTTAAGACTCTTAAATAGGAATTTTATAGAATATAAATAATACAAATTTTAGTACTTGAATTTCTTTGAGGACTTTTCTTCTAGTTATTGAATAAAGCATTTACATCTTTGGGCATAAGGGGACGATCGCCCTCCCCCAATAAAAATAGAGAGAGGGCGAGAATACTATTTCGACCCTCATCTCTCTTCCCCCCAAATTTTGAATAACAAAAATAAAATCAAAATCAAAAACAATTAAGCTACATAAATTGATAAGTATGTTAACTAAACTCAATTAAGAAAAAAGGAAAATTGACTAGACGGCTCAGCTTATAAGGGATAGTATTAGTAAATAGGTATGCAAGTATTACACGGTGGGCCAGACCCCCTTACCGTGCACCCCCCCCCCCACATCCCTATAAATTGCATATCGTCGTGTTCCTTGTAACTATTTATTAAAAAAAAGCCAATGTTCCCACAAAAAAAAGTGAATGCACTGCCCCAAAATGGTGTCCAAAGATGGCGGATTGACGACTTTGACTTTAGTTAGTTTTTTGGTCACTGAGAATCAGCATTTGGCTTAATTTCCTCATAGTTGGTCTTTTATTAAAGCTGAATAGTCATAAAATAATAAACCATGAAGAAATATTAAAAAATAATTGGCTTAGGCTATGAAAAACACTACTAAAGTCAATTTTTTTAACAAAAAAATTTTCAAGTTAAAAATCAAGCGTCATTTGTAATTAAACGGCCTACAATAACGCAAAACGTGCTGAAATAAACCATCTGGAGAATATATTTTTCTTTCCTAAAACGCTGATTATTTTTTAAAAACTTTTAAACAGTTCCGTAGAAAATGCACTTATGCGGCAGAAAAGCGGTACTGGCGTGGGTGCCTACAGGCCTCTACCACACCATTCAGTACACATAAATGGCTTAGTTAAAGTGATATAATAACATTTTTGGTACATTATATTGGTTTTATTAACGAACAAATATTAATGCAATAATTTAATTGTAAAAAAAAAAATTAAAATTTTTTTAAAAAATTTATTATTATTTTTTTTAATTTAACCTTCTTTATTCTACACGTAGGTCGTTTAAGAAGACCTTGATTGTAAAAATGATATAATTATAATAATAAAACTTAATTAAAAAACTTTGCTAAATATCTTGATTTTTTTTTTATTTAACGTTTGCAATTTAACACTGTGTTTTGTATATTTACTGATTCTTAAAGGTAATTAAAATTTATATATACTTCCCAGGAAATGAGTCGTATTAATACCTGTTTTATAAACTAAAATAATATATACCTAATCTGAACTATATATAATGAATAGCTGCTGGGTTGTATAGTAAAACTCATATATCACTAATTAAAAAATTAATTTTTATTTCCTTTATTTTGTGCGGAAGTTGTACTATATCATAAATAAATAGGAAATTTTATTATTGAATGAATTATTCTCTCTGCACAAAGAAAGATAGAAAGGGGGACGCTATAAGTTCTTCTATAAACCAGAACTGATTGTTTGGATTTGGTCTTGAAATGAGGAAAAACGCGAAATTGAACTCGAAAACTTGAAAAATACATTAAGCGAACGAGAAAGGAAGTGCCAAAACCTCGGAAAAGATAAAAAGTACCAGTATCCATTATATGGCTAAATGAATGTATAGTAGACAGATGAAGAGAATATTTCAAAATGCTGCTAAAAGGGGGTCAATTGCAGTTTGGATGATATTAAGTGGACGATGTAGGTTTATTATGGTGAAAACCACTTTATTTTCGATTGCTGAAGGTGCACCTCGGGACTATATTAACTTTGAAGCAGGGTGTAGAGAGGTATATCGAGAAAGTTATAGCTCATAGCTCTCCTTCTGTCTAGTGCATTTGCAAACGATTTTTTAAGGAATCTAAAAGGAAAACCTGCTTTTCTGAAAGACAATTAGATATTAGCACTATCCAAAGTGTAAAGCACTAAGCAGATAGAGAGATATTTTTCGTTGTATATAGACTTCTCTATAACCTGCCTTAAAGTGAAGCCAGTCTCAATTTTCAACTTCTCTTCCAATGTGCAACTTGAGTTTCTCAATCCATACTGCTCTGGCAATCGACAATATTTCTTATTCCAGCTTCTACGATTCTTGAGTATAATTTCTTTGGTACACTAAACAGGAATGGATCTTGATGGGTAATACATTTCCTAGTATCTCCTTTCTTGTAAGGATAAAAACCACAGTCCTTTAATATTATTTTCTAACATACTTGTTGCCTATGTATGCGCTAAACTGTGCGAAGCAGTTCGGTTTCGCCCTTTCCATCTTTCTTTGTGCAGAGAGAATAATGTATTCAATATTAAAATTTTCTATTTTTTTATGATATGGTGCAACTTCCGAAAAATTTATTCCGCAATTTCTGAACAATGACGAGCTATAACTTATATAAGATTCCTTAAAAAATCTTTTGCAAATGCACTAAACAGAAGAAGAGCTATGAGCTATAACTCGATATACCTCTCTATATCCTGCTTCAAAGTGAAGATAGTCCCGATGTGCACCTTCAGCAATCGAAAATAAAGTGGGTTTCACCATAATAAACCCACATCGTCCACTTAATATCATCCAAACTGCAATTGACCCCCTTTTAGCAACATCTTGAAATATTCTCATCTGTCTACTATACATTCATTTAGCTATATAATGGATTCTGGTCCTTTTTATCTTTTCCAAGGTTTTGACACTTCCTTTCTCGTTCGCATAATGTATTTTTCAAGTTTTCGAGTTCAATCTCGTGTTTTTCCTCATTTCAAAACCAAATCCAATCAGTTCTGGTTTATAGAAGAACTTATAGCGTCCCCCTTTCTATCTTTCTTTGTGCAGAGAGAATAATTCATTCAATAATAAAATTTCCTATATATTTATGATATAGTACAACTTCCGCACAAAATAAAGGAAATAAAAATTAATTTTTTAA